TCAACAATACGTACTGCGAGCGATTTTTCAACAAAACAATTTCGCTTCATTTTCAAAGGCCATAAATCGCTAGAATACGGGTGTTTAGTAATACACTTGACATCCGTAAGTACAATTTCTTACGCTGAATCGAACGGTGTCGCTTTCTTCTCAAAATATAAAGCAGTGCAGTCAAACGTATAAACTTTATAAACTTGCGATTTGCGAAGGTTGCCATTTTCATGCGAAATTCCTTGTAAAATTGTTCAATTTTCCCGCATTTTCCTCAAAATGGAGGGCTATTTATGGATCAAATTTGGGTAAAATTGGCAGGAGCCTTATGGATAATTGGGGGAAAATTAGGCAGTCATTAATATTCTATTTTGTGGCTATCAACGACGATTGGAGATTGCCGATCCACTAAATGGTGCCGAAACCTATACTCGCCAGGGGCACAGAGTGCCCCAGCGAGTAACTAACTCATGGTAGCAACAAGCTGAGAACAAGCAATGCAAGCACGAAAGAGTTATCAACAGAGTTTTTTTTTAAAAACAATTAAAATATTAAAATATTAAAAAGATTCTCAAGTCAAAATCGGTTTCGAATGACTACTGTACATTACTAAAAATAAAGTCTAGTGCGGCATTATTTGAAGAGAACAGCCGATGTTTCGTGCAAAAATCCGCCTCTCCCCCCGAGAAAGAACGCTGACAAAATACCCGACAAAAAACCGTGACCTGCGTTAATAACCCGCGACCAGTGAACTCTAAGGGAACTGCATGGAACGATAACTTGGCCGCCATCTTTGAAGCCACTCATAATGGCCGCCATGAACATGAGGCATCCAAAATACGTCGCCAAAAAGATATCCGTTTTTGAACATTAAATAGCTGTATTTCAACAAGGAAAACAGCTAAAAACTTTTAATTATACTTGAAATTTAATACAAAACATGTTTCCAAGAACATAGAGCAGTTTTAAAGTTATTTTTTTTCAGCCGGTCAAAGTGCGACGTTTTTTCCGGCACGTTCAAACTTGTTTAATTTAATAAATCCAAGAACCCAGGTTGCAATCTTTAAATTTGACGCCTTTTGATAAAAAAGTACTTTCTTGCTAATTTTCGCTCAAAAACCATCTTTTGACTGAATTTCCCGCTCCTCGAAACCCAGAGTCTCTAGTCCTTTAAATTTGGCTTCAACCAATCATAGGACTTTATCACTGGCATTATCGTTCCAGATTGCTTACACTTCATTGCCCGCGACCCGTAAAAATAACCCGCGATCCGCAAAAAAACGCGATTCGCAAACTGTACTTCATTTTAAAATGCACTTCTTTTTAAAAACAACTATTTCTTTGACATATAAGCTAAGTATCGAAAGAACATATCTCGTATGCAGTCTCAAGGCAACTCCCCTAGCAATCCCAAGTATTTGAGCCCTGGGATGCGAAGACTTTGCGTTGAGGGTATAAAGGGGCATCCGTGGATTTACTATAAACAGTAGTTTCTAACTCATTATCCCTTATGGTGATTAAAAGATCTAGGAAATGTAGACTATATTCTTCAATCTCCATAGTAAACTGAACGTAAGCATCAAATGCATTTAGGACCTGAATGAAAACCTTACTTCAAAAGGTTGCCACAACAGTTCTGTTTCATCCAAGAGTCCTTCAGGATCACCCCAAGATCACCTTTTTTCACTGAAGAAAATCGGATTTTTGCTTCATCCAAACGAGACCAAACCAGGAGCAACCTGTTTAGACGAGGGCAATACGGCTTATCACCATGTAATCCGCTAACAGATTTTTCGTGTTCTCATGACCCTATTTGGTAAAACACGTCATTGTCATACGCACGCAATTGATGCATACGCATTCTCAGATTGGTTTTAATTGAGTCTGCACTCTTTAATTTCCTTTCGGCTTTAAAGTGTGTTTTTGCATGACAGTAAAGCAGCTTTTACTGATAATTTTTTCTAATTTTCAGACAATTTATAGGCTGGAATGCACGATGGGTTATACGATTGATGACGTTTTTATAAAGATTGGTGAATTTCGTCAATATCAATGGTACATTTTAACCATTTTTGGATATACATCATTATCCATTTCTGCGTTTCCTACTATGATAGTGACGTTTATTGCAGCAGAACCAGACTGGAAATGCGTTGATGGATATATGAATAATACCGTATGTAGATTTAACAAACCAATAACATTAACCAGTGATGATTACAAAGCAAGATGTAAAATGCCGAGAGAAGCTTGGACGTTTGTAGATGACTTTACATCCACTGTTACCGAGGTAGGAATGCATAACATTTGAAGGGTGATTTTAAATTTTGATGGTGATTTTTAATATATATCATGCATTTATTTAATGCTTACATTCTCAAATGTATCCACATAGATTTGTTGTACAGCTTACTTTGGTAGCAGGGAATAAAGGGAATAAATTGCATAAAATTTTCACAAGTTTTGTGAAACTTGTACTTGCAGTCTGGCGAACATTTTCGAACTGAGCAGTTTTTGCTTTATACACTGTGTAGTTGGGAGTTAGACTTTTGCTAGGATTATGATTTGGCAAGGACGTTTCGATTTCGTTAGATTCATTGACTCAAATGTCAAAAATATTCTGATTTCGAATTCGGTTTACCTCATCGATTATTTACCTCTGTAACGTAAAATGCGTCGTTTGATTAAGGCCTATGAATTAAGCTATCAAATGACCTGTTTTGCTTCCATCAAAATATTACACACCCGAAGAAAATTGCCAATAAATGCTTTAAAATGTCTAAAATCTCCAAATTTATCTCGGTTTCTTCACATATTTGTTGAAATATCTTTCGAACAATAGGGAATACGACAACTTTTCATTATTCGAATGTGTAGCCGAATAGCGAATTTATATTTAGAGTGTCAGAATATAAATCCGACCAAATCTGCGCTTGTACTTGACCTTTGAACGAAACAGACGTGACTCACAGGCGTGGTTCATATGAAACGTTATTATATTATAAGGTCTTGCTTTTGACTAGCCTCCTCGGCAGGCCTCTCTATGGGTTTTAGCCTGCGAATGAGTTTTTCACCAAACTTTTTCCGACCAACTGAATTTCTTGCTTCATATCAACTGCTCGTTTGCAATCGACGGCATGTCGGCATCTTGGTACGTGGCAACTAAAAATCTATATTCTTCATTCTTTGTCATATTATTGTGCCAGAAATCGTAAACTATACTATCCATAATACAGTAAGATGTTTTCAAAACAAACCAAAAATATTAAAGTAACTCAACTATTTCGATGCAAACGGCTGTACCGAATCGTCTCGATACACTCGATATATATTCGATTAACACACTCAACCCATTGTTTTATCCCCGAGCCGACGGCGCGAAGCGCCGTGCGAGGGTACTAATTCCCCCCGGCTATTTACACCCGGGGAAACGAAAGCATTAGGGAAGTCTAAAGTTCATCAAATATCGCGGGCGTGGGTGACCAACGATGGGTGGTCATCCTCACTGATCTCAAAAATATGGCGGACTGTCATGAATAGCGGACACTGATTGGTCCAATTTAAAGTTTGCATTACAACGACTGCATGGCGACAGCGAAATGGCGAAATAGCAAACATTTCTTGATTTGATGATTGATGAATTTTTTTCTCGAATTTTTGCAAGATTTTGTAAATTTCAAAAGTTTTAACTCATAAAGAAAGGGCGAAAGAATCGGCTAAAAGAACGGAGCCAACGTTAACGAAGGTAAGTTTGTTTTAAATATTGATTTTATAATGGTATAAAACCCGATGGGCTTTGCGTATATGAAACAACTAAACAAGACAGCATATAATTTCAGTGTATCTTTAATATTGATTCCCTTTTTTATTATATTGAATTTTTTAAATAGAAAAGAAAGCAAAGTTATTTGCAAGCGAGAATTTGAAATCATTTTATTGCAAACTCAAAGTTTATCGATAAAGCCATTTAATTAAAGGCTGTTTAGTTTTATAAAGAACACTTTAAAACTGTTTTGCGAAGCGTTTGTGGTTGAATTTTACCTTAAATTGAAGCTTATATTACGTATAATAACATACCAAACATATATATGTTGGGAAATTGATAATTTTGTAATTAAAAGTGATATTTTTAGGCGATTTGTAAGAATTATTGGTAAGAATATTCTTAAAAAATTATCGTGTTACCATGGCAACTGCTCTAGATACTTCATGTTCAGAAAATATAATGGTTTTGTCAGCAAGGCGAGGGTTTCTGCATGCATGTATTTTCTAGTATTTTCTTTAATACAAAGAACCAGAACTCTCCTTAATACAAAGACGAACAACTCACTCTCTCTCTCTAAACCCATGTCCTTCACTTCCGTTTTCCTGGAAAACGAAGCCTACTAAATTCCTAGTATTAGTTCTATCAATTTACTTCCGGTTGCGTAATATTAATGTCTACAGTTCGACAAGTCCGTTCACCCTCCCCTAAAAATCAACGCAGTTCATTTTTATAAACAACAACAATGTCCTTATTAGCTATATATAGTTTCAATTCTCAAATGGCATCGTCCTTTGCTAAATGCTGTATCTTGGCCTGCGCATCGACAGCAGCCTTTCTTCTCTCTCGAACGGGCTTGATCGGTTCTTCCTTTTTCTTCTCCACCGTCTCCGTAATCGCGCTCCTAATCTCCTGTGGTATTATTGCTTTTACATTATGTTACATGAAGTACTTTTACTTATATAATATATTAGGAACATTGTAAATAATTAGATATAAATTATAATAAATTATTCTAAAACACAACATGGCGTAGTCGACAGTTCTCTCGAAAATATCTTGATCAATCCTGATCAATCCTGCTTTCATAGTGAAAGTTAAATGTTTCTTGTGTTTTCTATGGATTAAAGGAAGCAAGGAAATTCGACTATTCGAGTTTCTCGGCCGTAATTTTATCTAAATGCCACCGAAAAAGTCTTCTCAACAATCTGGCGATGGCGCCTCTGGAACAAGTGTAAATCTACCATTTATCTCGGCGGAAATCGGAAAACTTACTAAGCTTGACATTAGCAGCTGTTCTCCTGAAGGATTTGAGATATGGAAACAACGATGGGACTCTGTTATGACGATTACTCGGTTTTATGAACTCTCAAATGAAACTCAAAAAGCTCTCTTTATTAATGTACTTAGTGATGATACTATCAAACGAATGAACAACTTAGGACAACAAGATGTTCAAACTCTTATTGAATCTTTTCAACGCCAGGTATGTGGCAGTTCAAATATATTTGTGCATGAATATGAATTCCACAAACGAGTACAAGGCTCGAATGAATCGTTTGACGAGTTTTACAATGATCTACAAACACTATTAAATAAATGTCAATACAAGGACTGTTGCCAGAGCTCAACACGAATGTCGTGTAAGAACCGAATTTCTCTTGGCACGTCTCGTGGTCGGTATAAAGTCTCATGATATAAGAAAGGGACTTCTCTGTATTCAAGACCTTACTCATGACAAAGCTGTACAATATATCCAAGTAGATGAAGCTACCTCATCCCAAGCTGATAAGTTTTTAACTAAAGTTAACAAGACTGGAGCCTCTACATATATACAAAAGAAATTTCCCTATAACACTGGGAAAGGGGGCCCGTCTCCACCTACAAGGGATGAAAATTTGCGAAAATGCAAATTTTGCATGAAGTATCATGTTTTTAAGAAGGAATTTTGTAGGGATTGACAAAACAAAGGTCACTGGGCTAAATCTGTCATGTGCCCCAAGTCCTCTAAACCAACAGGTGACCCTGTTGATCCTGACAAGAAAGTTACTGATGAATCTTCTAAGCTTGGTTCCGCCACTAAACCAACTCTTAAAGTCATTTCAGCTGATCAAGAACTACCCGTTACTTCTGATGTCTCTGTCAAAGCTATCACCATTCATAGTGTTGGTAAGCACTACTACACTGATTTTATACTTGGTAACCAGAACTGGAAGCAAAAATGCATGATTGTGATCCTGGCTCCAACATTAACTGTGTCGGTTATGATTGGATTACCCGTTTTGACACCCCTGAGTGGTCATACAATCTTGAATGTGGTTTCATCAAGACCGCTGGAGGTCATAACCTGGATGTCGAAGCCCGAGTTCTCCTAAAGATTTCGTGGCCTCCAGAAAATCCCACCATTTCTGTTGATCAGTGGTTCTATATTGTTCATGGTGAAGATGGTATTATCCTTGGTACTCCTGCATGTCATGCACTTGGTGTGATTGATGATGACTGGCCTATTTCTACACTACTTCAGAACCTTAACCATCCCTCATCAGTGAATACCCTCGACGCATCAGAAAACAACCCTCAGATATGTGACAACAAACCGACCGAAGTCGACCATCTGGTTCCAAACCCTCCCACGTGTGATGATGAACTTTTGTCTGATTTGAGTTGGCAACCTACCTCTTGTCCTTCTGAATCATCAGTCAAAGTCACTTCTGTTATTGCAAATGGACAGAACATTAACTATTCTGAGGACACAAATTTCACTCCTCTTCTGCAATCTTATAATGATAGTTTTGATGACACAATTCTCCCGGAGATGAAAGGTGATGCCCTCAAGATTAATCTCAAACCTGATGTTCAACCCTATGCCCAAGCGAAAGCAAGGAAAATCCCGATTCCCTACATGGATCAACTTAAGAAGCAACTTGATGAAATGGAACGTCTTGGTGTTATCTCAGCCATGAAGAACCAAGCACTTGGTGTCATCCAATCGTTATTGCACCTAAGAAAGATAGTGACGAACTGAGAATCTGCATTGACTTCACCCACCTCAATAAGTTTATCCAGCGTGAATTCCACCCTAGTAATTCACCCTTCGAAGCTGTAACAAGCATTCCTGCTGAAGAGCTCAAATATTTCTGGAAATTTGATGCTCGTCATGGCTACTGGGAAATTCCACTGCACCCTGAGTCTTGTCCCTTGACCTGTTTCATCACACCCTTTGGTAGATCTGTGTGTAATCGAGCCGCATTCGGAATCAGCAGCATCAGTGAGTGGTACAACCGTCGCATGGACAAAGTTGTCAATGGCTTACAAGGTATCCGTAAGATCGTAGATGATGTTCTTGTCTATGCACCAACCCTCTCTGCTTTGAAGAAACGCGTTCACGCCTTCCTAGACCGATGCTCCACGCATGGGGTCACACTGAAGCGTTCAAAGTCCCAGAAAGCTGTCACTGAAACTGATTTTGGCGGATTCCACCTATCGGAAATGGGCATCCAATGCAGTTCAGATCTCCACAAGTCCATCCGCGATTTTCCACGACCGAAGAATCTTACTGATCTACGCTCCTGGTTTGGTCTGGTGAATCAACTTGGCCATTTTTCCCAGGAGATAACCCAAATCATGGAACCTTTTCGCCCTCTGCTTCAGAAGAACTCATGTTACCTCTGGTTGCCAGAACATTTGCAAGCATTCAACGAAGCTAAACGTCGCCTTAGCTCACCACCTGTTCTAACCTACTTTGCTGTCAACCGTCCAACTTTGCTCGCCACTGATGCATCTCGTCTGCACGGTCTTGGTTTTGTCCTTCTACAAATGGTTGACGGCGTATGGAAGCCTGTTCAAGCGGGTTCCAGATTCTTGACCCCCACCGAAAGCCGCTATGCTATGATAGAGCTGGAAGCTCTTGGTGCTTGCTGGGCCATGAAGAAATGTGATATGTTCCTTCGGGGCCTACCTCACTTCAAACTCGTCACCGATCACCAACCCCTTATTCCCATCCTGAATTCGAAAGGGATTGCTGATGTCGAGAATCCTCGCCTGCAACGCCTCATGATGAAAATGCTGCCTTATACGTTTACTGCAGAATGGATTAAAGGCAAAGATCACCTCGCTGCAGACGCACTCTCCCGTTTTCCCGTTGATGAACCTTGTCTTGAAGATGAACTATGCGAGTTGCATGCCGAAGCTGCTGTGAATGTTCACTTTGTTGACAAGTCAACTACTGCCAGTCAGCTTCAGGAACTTTTCCACCATCAACAAGCGGATGATACACTCTTGAAAGTCATCCATTACGTACAAATTGGGTGGCCTGAAATGCGAAATGAAGTCGATGAAGAAGCACGCCCCTTTTGGTCCATTCGTCATAACCTCTACATGGCGTCTGTTGGAGAGAACTCTATCTTACTTATGAATGGCAGAACTGTCATCCCCACCCAACAACAAAAGAAAACATTAAATAACCTTCACGAAGGACACCAAGGGATTGAAAAAACTCGCCGTCGTGCTCGTGATTCCGTATATTGGCCTGGGATGAACCACGACATCGAAGAAATGGTAAAACGCTGCTCTGAATGTCGAACTCAATTCCAAAGAACCTCTGCAGCAACCACCTCTACCCACACGACCTTGGGACAAACTAGGCGTTGACCTTTATAGTCTTAATGACCGAGAATACCTTATTGTCACAGACTATTTCTCCTCCTTTACTGAAGTTTATGATCTTGGTAAAGACGCAACAGCACCAGCGTTGATCAAAGAACTCAGACAATTGTTCTCTCGATTTGGTCAACCTGTTGAAGTCGTATCAGACGATGGTTCACAGATTACTTGCAAAGCCTTTGCAACGTTTGTTGAAAGTTGGAATTTTATACACACTGTATCTTCTCCTACTCACGCTCAGTCAAATGGCAAAGCCGAAGCCGCGGTAAAGGATGTCAAGAAGCTCCTAAAAAAGTGTGGCTCTATGAATGATCAATTTTGGAAAGGTCTGCTGGCAATTCGAAATACTCCTCTCTTATGTGGTAAGAGTCCTGCAGAATTGCTGCTTGGCAGAACACTCCACGATTCCCTCCCTCGTTATCCTGGTCCACCAACGTTAGATAATGAGACGAAAACGAGAATCCTTTATCTCAGGAAGAAACAGAAAGATACCTATGATCAAGATACTACCCCATTACCTCCTCTCCAGACTGGTACCCGTGTAGCTATTCGTTCCCCCGTCGATTCCGATTGGTCACTACTTGGAAAAATTACTGAAATTAAACCGAATCGCACCTACATTGTATTAACCGACCAAGGATCCACACTCACCCGTAATCGAAGATATCTAAGACCTGCACCTCACCCTGCTGGTAACAATACATCTCAAGCGAATGACGAACAGAACCCAACCCCAACGACTAATCCATTGGGAGAAAGGCATGTGGGACTACGCGATCCATATAATTTAAGAAAGAGATGTCCTAAAAACTGAACTTGTGAAAGGACTATTATATTACTTATTGTTGACGTTGTGTTCTTACTGTTAACTGACTGATTGATGTATAGTGAAGAATATTAACTTTTGATAACTTTATATATGAAAGGAAAGGAGATGTGGTATTATTGCTTTTACATTATGTTACATGAAGTACTTTTACTTATATAATATATTAGGAACATTGTAAATAATTAGATATAAATTATAATAAATTATTCTAAAACACAACATCTCCAAAGGGCAAATCGCTTGGAGAGGCCGCTCAAGTCTATTACTCTTATGCAACAATACGACTCCTCTCGCTACTCCATCTACTCCCTTCACGATTCGCGTCACCTTGCCTTTCATCCATTTCCCACGGTTTCTCTCTTCCCCTGCGATCAGAACAATCTCCCCAACTTCCGGCGGTTGTGATTTCGCTCGGTTAATACGATGACTTTCCATCAACCCGTGTATGTACTCCTTTTGTTATCGAGTCCACGCGTGTTCTCTAGCCTTTACTAGCCTTCGATTGAACTTCGTAAGTTCCTCGTCTTCCACTTTGATATCTTGCAAGCTGAAACGGTCGGACAGCTTCAATACGGAAACTCGGTAATGAGGCAGTAGTTGACGGTTTTAGCGGTTTTGCTGCAAAAACTTTGCAAACGTTACAATCGTCAATACGTCTCTTCACCAGCGAGCGAAGATGTGGGATCCACCATTTTCTCCTTATCTCAGCCATAGTGCTTGCGACTCCTAGGTGCATAAGTTCTGTATGAACATGTCTAATCAACTTCGTCACGAACAATCCTTCCTCCAGGTAGATGGGGGTGTAGTTTGGAATTCTGCCTTGACACTTCAACACTTTTGTGACTGGATCTTCCACCAGGGACCACCCTGGTTTCTCAAGGTCATGTGCGATATATTTCTGCTCTCGCCGTATCCAACAATTCTGCGACTCTAATATCTCATCCGTGGTAAGAGGACCCCGACGTTTCTTTGTTCGACTCTGCTTCGTTCGAAGGTTGTACACGAATATGAGGATCCACGCAGTAATCCGAATGGTACTCCAGTATGTTCTACGCACCAAGAGCTCGTCGAACTCGTCATGTTGGCGTTCATCGACGAAGGAGACAATCTCACGAATGGGCTTCTCTTCATGTTGAGTTTCTGATTACGACTTTAAGTTTGGCTGCTCTAGCCACTTCTCTTGTTCCAACAACCACTCAGGTCCTTCGTACCATGCATATTTCTCCATCTTGTTCAAGGATGCCTCTCTACTAATTCCAAGGTCGGCAAGATTAGCTTCAGTCGGACAATACTTCCACTGAATTTCCACTTCTTCCGTTATCTCTGCTATTTTCTTCACGCGATTCGAAACGAATGTCTTCCATGGCTTACCGGGATTCAAAATGCAGTAAAGTGACACGAGACTGTCCATCCATATCACAACTAACTGAATCGGCAATCTCTTGAGCGCTCGAGTAAGATTTCGGGCCAGGTTGGCTCCCATTTGACCACTCACTAGTTCTAGTCTAGGTATTGAGGTGTTGCGCTTGGCTAACCGAGATTTTGATGCTATCAGCCCCTTTGACTTTCTGGAGTCTTGATCGACCACTGCAATCGCCACAGTAGAACATGCCAATGCACTCGCTTGAGTAAACAAGTGAAGTTCGATAGCTTTCGTTTCCCCGGCTGGCATCAAACTCCTTGGGACTTCAATGTCTCGCAATTGTTTTGTCCAATTATTCCACTGCCTTGTGAGTGCAGGGGAAAATTCTGCATTCCAATTCTTCTGTTCCTCGCATGAATCACGATAGATCCGCTTGACCTCAATCATTGTCGGTGAAATAATTCCTAATGGGTTATAGGCTCTTCCCAATCTACTAAGAATAGCTCTCTTGGTTAGCTTCCCGTCATCATTATCTTGTAACTGAACCTTCAGAGTGTCCTCGGTTTTGTTCCAAACGTGTCCTAATATTTTTCCGGGGTTTGGCATGTTTGCGCTTTCTAGGCTAACCACGTTGCTCTCCCATTTATGCACTGGAAAATTCCCATTCTCTAGTACTTCGGTGGCTTCTGTCTTGAATTTCTATAGATCTTCGACCTGGGTCCCCGTCATCATCATGTTGTCTACATAAGTGTTCTCTCTGAGTATGCTCACCGTCTCACTCACTGCATCTGACTGTTGATCATAATGATATTCTAGTGTTGCACCTAACATGAAGGGACTCGCTTCTGCGCCGAATGCTATGCGTGCAAAACGAAACTGTTCCTCCCAACCGTTTATATTGAAAAGAAAGCGAAACGTATCCCGATCTTCTTCGCTAAGGTCAATTTGAAGGAACGCCTTCTCGATATCTCCAATCAACAGGTATGGTGACATTCGTGCTCGGACTAGTATGTCCCATAACAGGGGTTGTAAAGGAGGGCCTAGGTACATGTATTCATTCACACTGCTTGAAATAGGTTGTGGTTTGGCGCTGGCATCGAAAACCATCCGGGTTTTTGTCGTAATTGCATCTTGTTTGACTACAGGTTTATGCGGCATGTAAAATACCCGTTCCCCAGTTGGCGTGTCAGGGGCTTTCTCTATTATTCCAGCCGCAACTTGGTCAATAATGATCTTTTCGTAATCCTTCCGCAAACACTCATCTTGCTCAAGTTTCCTCTCCACTCGCTTCAAACGTAATCTACTCTGCGTTTCATTTGTCTCACTCAACTGAGTCCCTGGAATCCAAGGAACTTTTACCTCGTATCTCCCGTTTATGTCATGAACAATGTTCTCCTTAAAGTGCTACTGCAGCGAATTTTTCGACCCCTTTTTTTGGCTTAGTTTAAAGTGCTCACTTTCCTGATATGTTTCCCGCAAACAGAATTGAAATTGGTTGTTTCAAACCGATTTTATAACCTTTCAAAGTTGCGATTTTTGGTACTTCCTGTGCGAACTTTTTGGTCGGCCATGTTGATGCCGTGTGACGTCATAAGATGAACACAACTTCATCATGGCGTATTCTATTAGTAGTGGTAAACGCTATCGCGGAGGAAAACGCTGTGTTGCTGGCGGTCCTAACTTAGTTAGTTGCGCCAATAATCAACAAACTGATGGAATATCCATGCATCTGTTTCCTAACGAAGAAACAGATCAGCAAAGACGAAAAAAGTGGGTAAATTTTGTCCACAAACATAGACCGAGTTTTCACGCTACAGCGTCCTCGTGTCTTTGTTCTGCACACTTTACAGATTCATGCTACGATGTGAATCTTGCTTTGGCTAATTCTCTCAATATGAAAAGGAGATTGAAAGAAGATGCTGTTCCTACAATTGATGTAGCTGGAATTGTCGCACCGGCTGAAGAACAATTGACAGATCGAAGATGAAGGCAGGTTAGTATTATAATATCATGCGTTCGCAGCGAAGGCGTCTCGCCCACACACATGATGAATTTTAATATTATGCGAATGTAAATGTTGGCGCTCACTAAAGATTTTGCATATTCTTATTTCAAAGATAATTCGTCGCAGCAAAAGATTGTCTCCTGTAAAGTTGGCCTCTTCTCCAGCGAAAGTCGATGAACAGATTGCAACAACATCTCAGACTGTTGATGATACAATATACGACATTGCAACAACATCTCAGACTGTTGATGATACAATATACGACATATTGTACGACAGTGACAATGACAGCTAGCTCGTGCACGTCGTGTAATCGCTTGAAGAAGAAAATCAAAACCCTTCAAAAGACAATCAGCTGGCATAAAAAGACAAAAGCAACCTTGCAAAAGAAAATCCAGAGGCTAGAAGCAGAAAATAGAACATTATTTGCGAGTCAACCAAGTGTTAGTACGGCAGCTTTGGACGAAGCCTACATCGATGAAGACAATGAGCAAGAGTATCTTGATGATGACGCCTCGATGGATTATTCGTCTCTTGAAGAATCTGGTCAGTCTGCTGCTGAGATGGACGAAGAAATTACGAAAAACACTGTCAGGTAAGGCTGGTAATTTGTTGTATATAACTTGTCTGTAGGTTATATGTGATGTCACTGAACAATATTGTTCCAATCAATAATCTCCTCTAATTTGTCCTACAAAACTGTGCCTTAGAATTAATAGCTTTTAATTGCAAACTAAATGATTATTGAATCAATAGTTCGACTTTATATTTAATTTGAAGATGCATCAATTCATCCCCAGACAAAATAGTATTAAAATATGAGTAAATGAACTGATGTTTTTCTATTTCAGTGTTGACGAAGGAACCAGTCCATACAACGAACCAATGTTCCTTGTACATTATAGTCCCCTGGTAGAGTTGTTTGGAAGATTCTGCTTCAATTGTAAGTCTGAAAATCCAAAGGTTCAGGTGAAACACATTGGGTCAATGGCTACTGTTGTGCAGGCTTGTAGTAAATGCCTTATGGAAAACTTCACATGGAGAAGTCAACCTATGGTCATGGGAAGATATGCAGCTGGGAATATGACTAGTTTTGGTATCTTGATGTCTGGAATCAATATCAGCCAAGCTATGTTGATGTTCAGACACATGAACCTTGCAACAATATGTGTACGGACATATCATATACATCAAAGTACCCACCTATTCCCAGCTGTCTTGAAACATTGGGAAGTTTACCAGTCTGGTTTGATTGAGGAAGTAAAGGACAGTGGAGAAGAATCCCAGACATGGTCAGGAGATGGACGTTTTGATTCTATGGGTCATAGCGCTAAGTATGGTGTGTATACCATGTGGAGCAATACAACATCAAAATTGGTCCACTTTGAATTTCGTCAGGTATAATTTCATTCTTATGATTTATCTGTAGTCCATGGACTCATGGCTGAACATGCCTGTGATTATTTTGCTTTGTGGAAATCATGGTGTCATTTTATTTAGCAAGGCTTTTTCCCAAAGCAAAGTAATCATGTTTACTGTACAGTATATCAATGAAATGCATGTTTAGCTAAACAACCCAAACAGGAGGCAAAAGGCCACATAGACCACCCTATAGTAGTTGACAATAGTATAATATAATTACTGTCGTTCCAATTGAAGTGTTGCTCAAATATTGATTCAATACATTACCTCGGGCTAACCAATTCATTTGATCAAGTTCCTCGAGATATTCATACACTTCCTGTGAAACAGCCAATTCCAAGTGTTTGATCATTTCTGGTCACTTCCTTTCTATTTATGATTGGTTAGTTGCACAAACAACAATGGTGATTGGTGCATTCAAACTATTCAACAGGAAGTTTACAATTATACTAGGAAGTGTATGAATATATCGAGGAACTTGATGAAATGAATTGGTCAGCCCGAGGTAATGTATTGAATCAATATTTGAGCAACACTTCAATTGGAACGACAGTAAAAACATTTTTTATGCAGGCAAATGAAGTTGGCAGCAGCAATGCAATGGAACTTGAGGGTGCAAAAAGATCATTTAATTTTCTAAATGAATCTGGTCTTAAGATGGACATCTTTATTAGTGGCCGACATAAAGGGATTGCAAAGTGGATAAGGACCAAGCAAAAAGGGACAAAACACTATAATGACACATGGCATGTAAATAAGAGTATAAACAAGCAACTGAGGAAAGTGAGCAAAGAGAAAGGATGTGAAATCAAAATAATATTACTCCCTCAGATGATAGTAATATACAGAGGTTTAATTCCATTGAAAACGATAATGCCAATAATGCTAATAGCCCTCTGGGTAATGATGTAAATAGACAACAATCACATGCTAGCGGCTCTCTTTTTCCTAAACTTAAAGGTTTTAAAGTATGTCATCTAAATATAGCAAGTTTGATAAAACACTATGATGAGCTTTTGCTATATATGCAAAACAAACTTTTTGACATTATAACGCTTAACAAAACTAGATTAGATAGTAGCGTACTAAACGGTGAAATTGAAATTCCTGGTTATGATATTGTTAGGCGTGATCGAAACAGAAGCGGAGGAGGTGTTGCAATGTATATTAGAAGCAACATACCATACACCATTCGCAAAGACCTCTTCCCTGGTAATTTAGAGTTGATTTGCATAGAAATTAAAAAATTTAAAAGTAAACCTCAGTTAATTACAACATGGTACAGACCACCAAATTCCAGCGTTGAGCTGTTTAGCGAATTTGAAAATTTTTTAAAACTACTTGAGGACGAAAATAAAGAAATTATCATAACCGGAGATCTCAATTGTAACATTCTTGAGCAGAACAAAAGTTTGCCTACTTCTAAACTAGTTGACCTGATTGACATTTATCAATTACAGTAACACATACAGTGTCCCACGAGAATTACTAGTACAACAGTATCACTACTGGATGTTATCCTCACTTATTATGGTGATGATAAAATATTAGATACAGGAGTAATACACCTTGGTATCAGTGATCATAGTCTTGTTTATCTGTGTCGAAAGCTCAGCATTCCTAAGGCGCCACCAAAAACTGTCTTTACTAGACATTATAAAAATTATAATGTTAACCAGTTTAACAACGATCTAAGTGAGGTTTTTAGTTTGCCCTTGGATTCAGCTATTTTAACTGACCCAAATGCCTTATGGAACGACTTTAAAAATAAGTTTTTGAGCGTCGCAGATAAACATGCACCAATCAGACAACGTCGTGTCAAGAGTGAATATAAACCGTGGCTGACAAATGAAATTAAGCAAATGAGCTATCGTAGGGATTACCTTAAAAAGCAATCGATTAAATTAAGATCTGCGTATTATGATAAGGCTTACAAGAGATGTAAAACAAGTTAAATAATCTCATAAAAGAAACTAAACAAGAATACTTTAGAGATAAACTAAGCAATGCTAAAAATAGCAAAGAAAGTTGGCGAACTATTAACGAATTATTAAACAAAAAGCCTAAAACTTCAGAGGTTAAAGAACTAGATATAAATGGCCAACTTATTACTGACGATGATAAAATTGCAGATGCCTTCAATCAATATTTTTCCACAATTGGCAGTACGTTGTCTGACAAGATCACGGGTAACTGCACTGATCCAATGAACTTTGTGACTCCTCTTGATGGTAGTATATTCAACTTTACAAGCATTACACTCCAAGAAACAATAGATGCACTCAATGAAATTAAAACTAAGAAATCTCCAGGGCTTGATGGTATTAGTATAAGGTTACTAAAAGATGCATCTAACATTGTGTGGCAGGACCACTAGTGAACATATTCAATGTATCCCTTCAAAGAGAAATTTTCCCTAATGATTGGAAATTAGCAAAGGTGACCCCCATATTTAAAGAAGGAAATAAGGCAGACTGTGAAAATTATAGGCCAATATCTGTTATTTCAGCTGTAGCTAAACTTTTCGAAAAACTGGTATACCTGCAGCTAGGTTCATTCTTGAGGTTGAATGGTATTCTTGTGGAACAGCAGTCTGGCTTCCGTCATCAACATTCTACTGAAACTGCACTGCTTAGTTCTACAAATGAATGGTTGTTCAATATGGACAGAGGTTTACTTAGCGGAGGTTTATTTCTAGACCTTAAAAAAGCTTTTGATACTGTCGACCATCATATTCTTTTATCAAAGCTTGAATTATATGGTATTAAAGGAACTAGCCTGAAATGGTTCGAATCATACGTTTCTGGTCGAAGCCAAATATGCTCTGTGAATAGCAAGATGTCAGCTGTTAGACAAATAAAATGCGGGATACCTCAGGGCTCTAACCTTGGGCCTATTTTATTCCTATTGTACATAAATGATCTTCCTAACTGTTTAGAGACAACTAAAGTAAATCTTTTTGCTGATGACACAAGCCTTTCTTGTGAAGGGTTTAGTCCATATGAAATTGAGATCAAACTTAATAAAGACATTGAAAATGTTCATAGGTGGTTGACAGCTAACAAGCTCTCATTAAATATGAAAAAGAGTGAATTTATGATAATAGGATCAAGACGTCGCTTAGCTTCAATTGAAAATAGCCCAGTACTACCATTAGGGGGAAACAACATTAAGCGAGTTTACCAAAAAAAGTCACTAGGCATGATCCTTGACGACCAGCTAAAATGGAATAAACATAATGAAATGCAATGTAAAACAATTTCAAATGATATCGCCCTGCTGAAAAGAGCAAAATTGTTTGTCAATAGAGATAGTCTGATAAAAATCTACAATGCCTTAGTGTGGCCTCATTTCAATTATTGTTCAACAATCTGGAATGATGGATGTTGTTCGATAATTGATAAATTGTTTATACTGCAGAAGCGAGCAGCGCGTGTGATAACAGGGGACACATACGAGGTTCGTTCCATGCAAACGCTAGATAGTCTTAATTGGCTTCCAATAGAAGAACTTCTAAAACAACGACAGTTAATAATGACATTTAAAGTACTAACTGGTCGATTACCTCGATACCTTGAAAAATTGTTTTCAGTAAGTCAAAATGACAATTACAATCTAAGAAGCAATCAAATTAAATTGAACCTACCCAAACCTAAGACAAATTTTCTCAAACGAAGTTTCTCGTATAGCGCTGCTAAGTCCTGGAACGAACTTCCAAGTGAAACTATTGAAAATTATAACAATCTTTCAATTTTGTCGTTTAAACGGCAATTACTTGATTCATCCGTATCAATTCATTGTAAATAGTTATATTCTTTTTGTCCTTTTTATATTATTGTTGTAAACACACGGCCCTTTGAAAACCAGCGCTGTAAATATTATCTGCTGAACAGGCTACCGTGTTTAAATAATTTTATTAAAGATTAAAGATTAAAGTATGTCGAACACGAGGAAAATCTTTCCCAAGTAAGGGAAACCTTGAGAAATTACAAACGCAAGGTTTTACCTCCCCAGACAAAAGGCGCCAATCACGATGGGAAGAGAATAAACAACGAAAACAACAAGCAAAGGCTGTCGGAATATCACAAAGCGAACCAAATACTGAAAGCTCGGAAGAAGAGGATTATGTTTACACAGTATCGCAAGAAACGAGGGAGAAAACACACGCGACCGTAAAAATAAATGGACAGGACGTTTTATTTTTGGTTGACACTGGCGCTACTGTTGACATCATTGATTCTACGACATACGCGAAATTAAAGAGGAAAAGTTCATTACGTAAAAGTTCAACTAAAATCTACCCATATGGATTTCACACACCTCTGCCTCTAAACGGACAATTCAAGCAACACTCGAATCGAAAAAGCGCTATACCGTGTCGCAAATGTATGTAATAAACGGTGCAGGAGGAAATTTACTAAGTGCTAAAACAGCCCAAGATTTGGCCTTGGTCCAGCTAATTAATACAA